CATGTTTGGGCATAATTAATTGTAAATAATTATTTTGATAAGAAAATCAAGTAAAACCAATTGGGTTTGAAACTTAGGATATATTAGTTGATATTTGGGGGGATTTTGGAATTTTTTGAACAGCGTGGAGTGAGTTTTTAATTTTCAAAGTGAGCGAATAGATTGGGCTAAGTTGTTTAAAATTCTGTTTTATCTTAAAATTACTTTTAATTAAGTTTCAATCTGAACGCATGGCATGAGTAATTTGAGACCTTGAAGAACATGAACTTAGGTATTATTTAAGAGTAACGGTGAGTGGGATTGAGCTGTGTTAGTGCGCTTTAGTTTGGGGTTGCTTACACTACAACAAAAGTAACTTATGGTGACGAAAAGTAGTGAAGAAAATAAATTTCGTCACTAAATAAGAATAATCTGTGACAAATTATAAAATTTTGTCACATATAATAAAAAATAAAAATAATAGGTGATGAAATTTATTTTCGTCAACAAACATTTTTTTTTAGGTGAGGAAATAGTAAGTTTCGTCACCAAAGGTTTTCCCGCTAATTCTTGTTTGGTGGCGCCAAAACTTTGAGACTTTTGGTGAGAAAAATTTTTGTCACAAATTATAAAATTATTAGTGAGGAATATATTTTCATCACTAATAATTATATATATATATATATATATATTGAAAACTTGATTTTAAATATTTCAAGAACATCTAGTGAGAAATATATTCTTGTCACTAATAATTTTTAATATTTTGAGACTTTTTAGTGAGAAAATTATTTTGTCACTAATTTTGAAAGGAAAATTTTGACATATTTGGCGGTAATGAAAAACAATAGACTACTAACTTTTTCCTCTTTTTTTATATATTTTTTTATATCAGTTTTCCTATCTCCTCTCTCTTAAAACAAAACACAAGTTAATTAGCTCTCTAAATAACCTATGGTGACGAAAGATAGTGAATAAAATAAATTTCGGTACTAAATAAGGATAATCCGTGACGAATTATAAAATTTTGTCACATATAATAAAAATGTAAAAATAATAGGTGACGAAATTTATTTTCGACAATAAATACTTCTTTTAGGTGAGAAAAAATTAAATTCGCCACCAAAGATTCTCCTTCTAATTTTTTTGGGTGGCGTCAAAATTTTGAGACTTTTGGTGAGAAAAAAAGTTGAACGTGACATGTTATTTGGACTATGTCAATCTATGTTAAAATGTAAGTTTTTAATTTTGTTTATAAAAAATTAACACAATAATTACCTTTTGTGTCTTTACACATAATAAGTCAATTAGAAAATCAAAGTTATTATTGTACTTTATTAGCTAATGTACGCATATGTATAATTATGGCTCACTTTAAGAACGTAAAATTTTAATTTAATCAATTTATATTATTAGCAAACTAATTTTTACATATATCTTATATTTTTTTTTTTTTTTGCAGGATTTACAGGATCTCCAGTCTCATGTTACCAAATTTAGAATTTATATAAACTTTTGTTGTACAGATTTTTTAGTTAAGATTAGTAAATATTATATTTTTTTAAAGATTTGTACATATTTTAATGTACATATACTTCATTTATCAAATATATTAATATCAACTATTACATTGTACATAATTACTAATCATATAATTTATATGTATATTATTAAGAACAAAATATAAAAAAAATATTATAATTCAAAAAGAAATTGCACATCGCATGTGCTCGGCCGTGTGTATATATATATATATACACATTGGTTGCATGTGCCAAAGTCAGATGCTCTCTCAATCGAAATCTAAAAAATCCAATCAAAAAATTCTCTCCGATTCTCGAAATTCTCTGTTTCCCCGAATTCAAACCGTAGTTCTTCGTTCGAACATTCGAAGATCTATTGCAATTTAATAGTTGTTGTTGATCATTGATTGCGTGAAAGGGCTTCGAGAATGTTCAACGGAATGATGGATCCTGAATTGATGAGACTCACCCAAGAGCAGATGAGTCGCATGTCGCTCGCTGAGATGGCCAGGATTCAACAACAGGTCACCCTCTTTTGACCTCCTTTCTCTGTATTCGATTCAATTATGGTTGTAGATTCAAGAGTTTGGGAAAACCGATGTGCAATTGAATCTAATTTTGATAAATTAAATGTCTGATGTTTTTGGGTTTGTTAATATTTGTTATAATTTGGATATATATAGTTTTTTTTTTTGGTTTATTTGGTTGTTGTTCAAGTTAGATGTGAAATTGGTTCAAATTGAATGAGTAAAATCATGAATACTATCTTTCTTTTCCCTTTTTAGCGTTTCATATTGTAAACGAGTTGAGTCGATTCAAGTCGAGCGAGTAGTAGGTTGTCAAAGCTTGGTTTGAAAACTCAACGGGCATGAAAATATGTTCAAGCTTAATTTGTTTACCATTATAATCGATTTGGTTCAAATAGCTTATTTTTTTCATAGTGCATATAATGGAGTAGATTGATCAAGTTGTCACCATATTATTTTTTTTTCATAGGAAGACTCATTTTATGCAATTCTTGCCTCTTTGGTACTGCATACTTACGATAATACAATGCCCAATTTTGCTTACCCCTTTCGTCATGGCTTACCATTATCATGAATACCCCACATTGACTTGATTTATCTTGTTTATCCCTAAATTACGGATATAAAGCTGTCAGAACACTTGAAAAATTAAAGATGTAAACAAAAGCTCTACTAGTTGATACGGTGGTCACTTTATACCATGATTGTCATTATATGTCTTGCATTATTGCCAACATTGCAAATTTGACTAATTGATTAGGTTTAAACTGCTGAAAGAGTTGCTTATTAGAAAATTACTTCTGCCTGCAAATACATACATGACGAAAACCAGGAAAAAAAAACTCAGTGTCAGCTATGGTTAGGTAGTTTATTTATTGATATTTAACCAATGCATATGGTAATCTAGCCTGAAAAAGGCATTTCAAAATTCGCTTTAAAGCCTCAAAATGCATCTCAATTAACTAGACAAGGTTTGTTGAGGAAATACCAGTCAGTGATTGCAAACATTAGGTGCAAATATTGAGAAGCTTGAAGTTATTCATGTAGGTTTTCCTTGTTCTTGCCACTATACCTGCACCAAATTCCTTCAAGAATATTATAGAGAGTTAATAGCGTTAGTATAACACACATTTTCAGGCTCACAGCACTCAACCCACTATATCTGAACTCACATCCCTCACTCTTGGTAAGCATCCTTCTGTACCTGCAGCTGTAACAGATATAGATATAAAGATTAGTACACCTCCCTGTAGAGCCTCTCATCACACAACCCTCAATTGGTAACTCACCAACACTCAACACTCCGAAAGCTACACTCCACTCAATTTTAGAATGGTGGCTGGGAGCCTCCATTCTTGCTGAAACCAATCATCAGTGGGTGAATTCTTGATGTCTTTCAAGGCCAGACACTTGTATCTAACCATGCATATGATACTCTGAAGGACAACCTCTTCAGGCTTCCTTTCTTTATTGAACACCCTGTTATTTATTTCCAACCAGATTTGATAAACAGTGCAGCAGAAGCCAAGTTTCTTAATAATGGTAGATAGAGATTTACCCTTGCAATCTCTAGCCACCATACCCACCCAATCATTCCAGCTATTACAAGTCCAGTTCACATTGCATTTCCCAAGGATAGCAGCCCAAATTTTAGAGGAAAAAGGGCATTGAAAAAACAAATGGTTATGATCTTCCCCAATCTGCCCACACAGAGGGCATGTGGGGGCAATGTTAATGCCAAATATAGTAAGCCTATCAGCCGTATTGAGTCTACCAAGGATAGCCATCCACACAATAAAGCTAACTTTAAGTATGGAATGAGGGCCCCAGAGTAATCCAACACATTGATTCTTAGGTCACTTGGAAAGCCATTGCTGCCAGGTAGACCCAATACTAAACTTACCATCCTTATTAGGAACCGAAATAACTTTGTCAACCCTCAACAGGGAAGGTGTCAAATCAGGGGGAGTGGTAGAGATGATCTCTTGTACCTCCTAAGAGGAATCATTGGGCCACTGCCACCCACTATCAGTCACAATAGACCTCACTTTAGAATTGCTATCAAGAGCAGCATCATAAATGAGCCTATCCCCATACTTAGACCACAGCGAATCTAATGGATGCCAATTGTCATACCAGAGAAAGGTATTCTCACTAGAGCCTATCAAACGTTTGATCAGAGGGTATATGAGGCTCCTACGAGAACAGTTTCCTCCAAACCCATGAGGGATCACTAGGGACTCTGACTCTCCAAAAACTATAGCCTCTTAAAAGGTAGGATTTAACCCATTGACACTACATGGATTGCTCACCCCCCGAAACAAGGAACCAAATGTGTTTAGACACAGCAGTTTTATTCCAAATTTCCATAGACTTAAACCCAAGACCCCCTCACCTCTAGGGGCACACAACCTGTCCCAAGAAACCTTAGCCCCAGTCTTCTTAAGTTCAAGCCCAGACCACAAAAAGGATCTATACACGGCCTCAACCTCCTTAATCACCTTTTTGGGAATAATAAAGAGAGAAGACCAGTAAACTTGCATAGAGAAGAGGACAGAGCTGATCAATTGAGCTCTACCAGCATAGGACAAAACTTTATTAGTCCAAGACTTAATCCTATTGGTTATCCTAGTGATCAAACTAGTACAATCAGCAGTTCTCAGCCTAGTGGTAATCAAAGGGACACCTAAAGAGTGTCCCTACTTAAAGATACAATTGAAAGAATGTGCAAGGATATGGATCCTAATATGGAACCTGATATGGATTATGATATTTAGTTTTTGTTTTTTTTAGGTTTCTATATGGACATATGTTTTTAATGCATTACATAGTTATGTTATATTTTGTTGTGTCTCTTCAAGTGAATATTCTGCTTTATATTTTATATTTTATATCAATTTATGCTTTTTAGTTACCAAAATGGCCAAAGGGGAGAAAGAATGGATCAAACCAAGTTTTCTAGCGAAACAGAAGCGAACACAGTACGGAATGGAAAGATATAAGACAATCAAGAAGAATAAAAAGAAAATGGATGCTCTACAATTGAAGCGTTTAGTAGCTTCTTTGATGGGTTCTACTAAGCCCAATCGTGTTAATTAGAAGGGAAAGAACATTAGGGTTGAGGTAGATGATGATGACTACATACCGTCAGATCATGAAGATGACACTGATGATGTTGAGTCCTTTGAAAGTGTTGACGATGAGGTACTATATGTATGGCCATTCATTTTTGTTATCATGTCTCATAGCTATATATTCATTAATGATGCTTTGTTAATACCATCTTTATATTTCCATATACTTTTTTGGATGAATAAGTCATAAAATAAAACTAGAAAATATACATCCTACATACAACCTCCATAACATCAACTTCAATGTTCAAACTAGGAATATAGAAACCAATCCAAAAAATTAACCTCACATCACTAGGCCCTCAACAACAAATTCCTTAACAAGGAACCAGCACAGATAGAAACCTGCAAAAGCAACCAGTTATGAAAAAATGTGGTACTACATGTTGCATCGTTTTGCCATGTTTCAAAGAATGAATAATACAGATTTCGCAAAGACTTGAACCCTAGATCAATGTTCTTCCATAATTATTGATAAGTCATATTTACAATCTACAACACTTCTAACAATTCAATATTTATGAAAGTATAAACAATTTTGAGATCAGCATCTAAATCTTCTTAGCAAGAATGATAAAAAAGCTGGCATGTAATGAAAAATTAAATTTGAAATATAGATGAATCAATTTTGTAGCATTAGTACCATCTACAAGGAAAAACTGATCTTAAGAAGCTCTGCCCTCTTTACACCATCCATAGAAGTTGACAGAGCAGCTGATTGATTGCAACTCCTATGACCAATCAAAAGGAATAGCTAGCTACAAGGACTATAATGCATTCCCCATCCATAATGATCAACATCATGGAGTTTCTTAAGAAGCAAGGTTTCAAATGACAATTTAGAGGAGGAGGTATCACATGAACTCGTACATCACCTTTTCGGTAAGTCTCATTTGTTTTATCTTTTTATTTTTCTCATGTTGGTCAGTATATACTAGTTAAAGTACAGCAATTTGACTACTTATTAACTATGATGTAACAAGTTTGAAGATGTATTTAATGAAAATAGATTCATTATCAAAATTCTTACTTAGCATGACCCTAGTTAAAATACACACTAACCAAAGTAGAGACAAGACTATGTGTTTACTTTTTTGTGTATTTTTGCTAGGCAGTGTTGGAGTTGCTCTAAGTTAGTGATGTGATTAATAATGAGTGTGTCTTTGATTGAGTTTTTCACAGTAGAAGAAATGAAGGAACATTTATTGAAGTCTCAGGCAGTGGGTTGGTCAAGTTTGTATATCACTTTATGATTGCTGCTGTTTTGTATATATCATTAGGATGATTTAGCATAATAAGGACTTTTAATAGATGGTGTCACACATGATGTATATGCATACTGATTGAATTTAAAATCTGAGAAGTGTAACAATTTTTCAATTGTGGAAATAGTATGGTTAATGTAAAATTTTAGTTTCCACGTTTGGCTCCAAAGTTTGTGAAACCGAATCTGGGTGCAAATGTGATGCGAAAGATAAAAGGAATACTTACATTTTAATTGCAGAAATCTAGTGCATAATGACTCATTTGTACTTTCTTCATTTGTCCTGCTTTCTATATGGTTGAATGTTTTCTACAGTGTGTTAAGAATTGGAAAAATCATATCAAATTATATCTCTCAAATCCTTCTATAGCTATAGCAATGTGCAATTTGGAAGGCCAGATGAAACTTGAAAGCAGCGAAAATGGAAAATACTTCGCTTAACAAAGCCACCATAATTAATGTCTTCTTTTTCTAGCGAAAAATGGAACAGTAAAGAGGAGAACATGGCCTTCTCAGGAATGTAACTGTCATGAGCACGTGGCCTTTGGAAAGTGGTTTGTTAAGTTCACTGCTTTATAAGGTTTTGTATATTACATGTTTACCCCTATGGGTAAAATGCCAAAGTCATCAAATAGTATGGTTTTTTGGTCAACAAAACTAACATGACACAACTTCCAGAAAATGTGGACACCAAGTTGAGGCTTCCCATTATATATTAGTATAGATTGATCCATTTGAAGGTTTTTCCCTATACTCAACCTAGTGAAGCCACATTTCAACCACTTTGTCCTGGCTAAAGAAGTCTTTTCTTGAGATCATGTCCTTTCTCACAACTTATATTCATATCTGTTGGTCTATCTCTTGTTCTTAAGGCTTCAACTTCGCCCTCTTAGTGGTGCTGTCCTTGTTATTTGACACAAACATTCAATTCGTGTTAGCCAACCAATCATATATTGTCTTCATTGTGCTCAATTGGACTATATAAGAAGCAAAGGAGGAATATTTAGCAAACTTTATTTTTAGCTGGTGCTAGCTTGAGTTGCGTACCAAAGCACTCGTATTTTCATATTCTTTTCATATTTTTTTAGTTTTTCTCCATTTCTTTTTAGCTCATCAAAATTATGACTATCCTTGTTACATGATTCTATGAATTTTTAATAATACAGTCTTATGTTGTAATTCTTTCAGTTCGACTGAAAGTAGGCAAATATCCAGATATAGGAAACTAGTTCAAAGAAGAGTTTTTTGGATTTTAAATTATATGATTTTGAATCAGTATTTCAAATATCTCTAGAATTCTAAACCCTTTAATCCAAACACACTCTTAGCTTATTAGAGTGGTTTGTGACTGCATACGCCCCAGGAAAAAGTTTTCTTTGGGCCTCATAGATGTGCTCTTAAAGCTGTCATGGCTTCTGCTGCTTCCACTCAAAACTTAATGTATGCTGCTTGTGAATTGCCTCTTGCTGACAAAAAGAAAATATTTGTGCAAATCTGTAAGCCATTTTACTTGTTCTTGCAGATTGGATTACTCTGTGCATACGTTATCAAAAAGTTGTACTTTGGCAGGTATGTAAATGCTGGTCTTTTGATTTGCCTCATTTTGTTCCACTGGAAAATCATGTTTTCATTTTCGCTTTGTTTATTAATTTAATTGAGTCTCCAGAGACAAGTGCTTCTGCATTATTATTATACGAGTGACCAAATGAACGAATATAGTCCATTGTCGTGAATCAAATGTACCTCAATGCTACGTTATATTTTGGAGCTATTATATATATACATATATACATATATATATATATTCTACCATTAGTGATAGTGATATATGGTATTCTTGCAATCTTTTAGCATCTTATGTTATCCGTGTTACTTTGTCATCAAGGATCACCTTAACTCTTTGAAGTTTTGATTTGTTAGATGCATTTCTACTAAATTGGTTTATAAAATAAAATTATTTATATATGAGTTTAGATGTAATTGATAATATATTAATGCTTTCTTTGTTTATTTTCTTTGCAGATTGGTTTTTGATGACATTTGGAAGTATACTTGCAAATGAAGATCAACTGTTGAATTTTGTTTCCTGAACTAATACTTAATTGTAGTTGTAAATCAAGATTGAGTGTTGATTTTTTGTGTGGATTCCACGTTAGTTCATTTTGCGATTTGCTTTGATGATTTTTTTGTTATACTTAATGGTTTATATTATTAAAGTTGTTTGATGGATATATTTTGATTTATAATATAAATTGTTTACTGAATTTTTTTGTGAAGTGATGTATAATAGCTAGTGGATTTCTTAGTAAAATTAAAAGGCTATTGGGATATGAGCAGGGATATTTGTGAAATAATAATTGAAATTGAAATATAAAATATGGAAAAGATTTAGTGACGACTTTATTTCGTCATTTGTACTTGTTATTATGACAAAGTGATTATTCGTCGTTAATAAACATTTTTTGTGACAATTTATTGCCGCGCATATATGAAAGTTTTCATTGATTTTGTTGTTTGGTGATGAAATATATTTCGTCACGTAGATAAATATATTTGTGACGAAATAAATTTCATCACGTATATAAATATATTTGCGACGAAATATATTTCGTCACCCATGTATGACTTTTGGAGACGAAAAATTCCGTCACCTTTGCATCTTACTGTGACAAAATTATTTTCTCATCAATGATCAACATTTGTGACAAATTTATTCGTCAACTAAAATTATAAATATGGTACTGAATAATTATTTGGTGACGAAAATGAGAATTTTTGGCGGCAAAATCTTGTTTTATTGGTGACAAAAAATTTCGTCACTGAACTAATTTCATTGGTGACGAAATTATTTTTCGTCACGGTGGTTTTTAGTGACAAACATTCAATGACGAAACTGGTGACGAAAATATTTCGTCACAAATATCTATAGTGACGAATTTGGCTCTTTCGAGACAAAAAAATTTCGTCATTCAAGACCCAACTTGTTGTAGTGAATGTGTTGCATGTACCGAATATTCACAAGAATCTTATTTCCGGATCTTTGTTGAGTAAGAATGGGTTTAGACTAGTTTTTGAAAGTGACAAGTTTGTACTTACCAAAAATGGGATGTATGTAGGAAAATGTTACATGTCTGATGGCCTTTTCAAGATGAATGTAATGACTGTTGTACCTTCTGGTATTAATAAAGACACATCTTCTTCTTACTTGCTTGAGTCTTCAAATTTATGGCATGGTAGACTAGGACATGTTAATTATGGATCTTTGCGTAGATTAATTAATATGGAATGTTTACCTAAATTTGACATTGATTCAAATCATAAATGTGAAATTTGCGTTGAGACAAAATTATTTAAAACTCCTTTTCATTCAATTGAAAGAAGTACGGAACCACTTGAACTAATTTATAGTGACATTTGTGATTTTAAATCAATTCAAACTAGAGGTGGGAAAAAATATTTTATCACTTTTATAGATGACTATACTAGATATAGTTATGTTTATTTAATTCAAACCAATGATGAAGCTTTGGAAACTTTCATTCAATATAAGAATGAAGTTGAAAATCAACTTGGTAAGAAAATCAAAAAATTGAGAAGTGATAGAGGTGGTGAATATGAATCACCTTTTGGTGAATTTTGTAAAGAATATGGAATAATTCATCAAACCACCGCTCTTTACTCACCTCAGCAAAATGGAATTGCTGAAAGGAAAAATAAGAATTTCAAAGAAATGATGAATGCCATGTTAATCAGTTCTGGATTACCTCAGAACTTGTAGGGGAAAGCAATACTTTCTGCTAATTATATTTTAAATAAAGTACCCCGAAAGAAAATAAATCAAACACCTTATGAATTGTGGTATGGAAGAATACCATCCTACAAATACTTAAAAGTGTGGGGGTGTTTGGCTAAAGTGGCTATTCCTAGTTCTAAAAAGACTAAGATAGCTCCTAAGACCATTGATTGCATTTTCATTGGTTATACTAAGAATAGTAGTGCATATCGGTTTTTGATTCATAAATCAGAACATACCGAAATGCATGTAAATACTATTATTGAGTCAAGGAATGCATCATTCTTTGAACATGTATTTTCAAATAAGACTGGACAGAAAACTAGTAACAATAAAAGATCTCATGATGCTATTATAAGTCAGGATCAAGAAAATGATCAACAAGAGTTAGATCAAAATGAGAAAGATGAACCTAGGCGTAGTAAACGTGCTAGAATCTCAAAATCTTTTGGTCCAGATTTCTTAACATTTTTGTTAGAAAATGAGCCTTTAACTTTTGAAGAGGCTATGTCCAGTCCTGAAGCTCCTTTATGGAAAGAAGCTGTCAACAGTGAAGTTGAATCCATCTTGTTTGAATCCATCTTGTCAAATCACACTTGGGAATTGGTGGATTTGCCACCAGGTTGTAAACCTCTTAGGTACAAGTGGATTTTCAAAAGAAAATTGAAAGCGGACGGATCAATTGACAAATACAAAGCAAGACTTGTGGCCAAAGGATTTAGACAAAAAGAAGGTCTTGATTACTTTGACACATACTTATTGGTTACTAGAATAACATCCATTAGAATGCTAATTGTCATTGCATCTCTATACAATCTAAAAATTCATTAAATGGATGTGAAAACCGCTTTCTTAAATGGTGAGTTAAATGAAGAAATTTACATGGAACAACCAGAAGGTTTTTCTGTTTCAGGAAAAGAAAAGAAAGTGTATAAATTGGTTAAATCATTATATGGTTTAAAACAAGCGCCAAAGCAATGGCATAAGAAATTTGACAAGGCAATGATGTCAAATGGATTTAAAATTAATGAGTGTGACAAATGTGTTTATATTAAAAACACTGACAAAGATTATGTCATTATATGTCTTTATGTAGATGATATGCTCATCATAGGTAGTAATAATGACATGATTAAAACTACCAAGAAAATGTTGAATAAACATTTTGACATGAAGGACATGGGCATTGCTGATGTAATTCTTGGTATGAAAATTACCAAAACATCAAAAGGATATGCTTTGTCACAATCTCATTACATTGAGAAAATACTTGACAAATTCAGTAAAGATGATGATCATCTTTCTAGAACACCTGTAGATGTTAATTTATATCTTTCTAAGAATGTACAGGAAAGTATTTCTTAATTAGAGTATGCCCAAATTATTGGAAGCTTAATGTACTTGATGAACTGCACTCGCCCAGATATAACTTATGCAGTAAGTAAATTAAGTAGATATACAAGTAATCCAGGAGTAGAACACTGGAAAGCAATTATAAGGGTTCTAAGGCATCTCCGATTTACTCGTAATATTGGGCTGAATTATACTAGATATCCAGCAGTACTTGAAGGATACTGTGATGCAAATTGGATATCGGATACTAGAGACTTAAAGTCCACCAATGGGTATGTCTTTACTCTTGGTAAGGCAGCTGTATCTTGGAAATCTTCCAAACAGACTTGCATTGCTAAGTCTACTATGGAATCAGAATTCATAACTTTAGACAAAACAAGGGAAGAGGCAGAATGGCTTTGCTATTTTCTTGAAGATATTCCAATTTGGCCAAAACCGGTGCCTGCTATATGCATACATTGTGATAGTCAATCAGCAATTGGTAGAGCACAGAGTCATATGTATAACGGTAAGTCTAAAGACAACATAGCGGATCCACTAACCAAAGGGTTAGTAAGAGAGTTAGTTGAGAATTCATCGAGGGGAATGGGACTTAAGCCTATTAAATAAGAGTTACCACAACGGCAACCCAACCTAGTTGACTGGAGATCCCAAGATCTAGGTTCAAAGGGACAACCGAGTTGTGATTGACTCAGAAGGATCACTAGGGAGTTAAACTCCTACCCATTTCTATGATGAAATAGTGATGACTACAGCGTTTGAGGTTAAGTAAAATTTTAATGATTCTTATATCTAGGTAAACCTAGTGGAGTATGGCAGGATACTCTTCATAAGCATCACCTATGTGAGTGTGAACTGGGCCAGTTCTGTGAGATTTGTGAATAGCTACAATTCTCTAGAGCACTCATGAAAACCAGGTTGTTCAGGGCCAAAATGAACACAATAGTGAGAACTAAACTGTGTCTGGGAATATACTGTGTGAGTTCTATTATCTTGGTTTACACAAATGGCTGAATAGTTCAAGACATCACGTTCACTGGTTAGCTAGTAAATCCGATAGTGTCTTACAAGAGAAGGTTCAAAACCAAAAGTTGCTTATCCTTTGCAGAATATTTCCAATTTCTGTACTCTCTGTATTTAGATCATGTTGTTGTATTTTCTCTCCGTTAAATTCCATTCATGTGGGGAATTGTTGGAAAAATGGTTTAATATAAGCATATTTTTTAGCCCAAAATTGAGTGGGCCCCGACCATCTTTTGGGGCGGGTCCGAAGAGGTGAAGTGTTTCTTGCCACGTGGCAAGTTACACGATGAAGACGGTACATCAAAACCATTTATGAGTGAATGAGAAGTTAACGTCGTTTTCGGGTCTAACATTAATTTTTTAGATAAAATTCATTTGAATTTTTTCAATAAAAATTATTGTGGGAATTTAATTTAATTCTAAATTCAAATTTTGGGTTCCTAAGTGGTTTCCTAAAGTTTGTAATTGTGGGAATTTAATTTAATTCTAAATTCAAATTTTAGGTTCCTAAGTGATTTTCTAAAATTTGTACCTCTTCCTTTATTTATTAAATTATTCGAATAGTTTAATATATATATATTCCTAATAGTTTAAATAACAAAGTTCAAACTGTTCCATGTGCAACGGCTACTTTTCAAATTGTTTGGAAAGAAAACTATTCCATGTGCAACGGCAGAATGTGTTTGAAACAGATTGCATCTGTTCAAATTCAATTCGCACCTGTTCACTTTCTCAAAGTACCTTTTCGGGTCAGATTTCTTGCCTATATATACCTACTATTCCAGCAGTGTTCAAATCCGAAAATATTAAGTCTGAAATTTCTTTCTATTTGTTGTCCAAACTATTTTTGTTTGCATTTCTCTACATTCTAGTTTTAGAATTGAAAAATAAAGAAAGTATAAGAACACAAGGTTTTAGTTCCCCGTACATATTTGTGTGGAGTGCTACTACAAGTTTGTGAAGATCATTGTATCTTGGGAGATAGACGTCACTCAACCGTAAACACTGTAGTGGGGCGAATCTGTCTTAAGGACAGGTGTCACACACTCGACTTAGTCTTTGAATTATTTATTCAGTTCTACAAAATAAATACTG